AAATAATTTAGGGAATAACCTGAATTGTTTCACAGGTTTTTCTGAAATAAGCTAGTTGAAACAATTACATTTTTATCCAAATTGTGTGTCTTTTTAGAATAAAGTTCTAATTTTCTCTACAAAGTTTAATGGAGGATTTAGGCATGCAGTAATGTCAGAATGATTTCTTAAGTACAAGTGATCAATGAGACGACCTTGGCAAGCAGGTAGGAATCACTAGTTCCAGGCATTAAAGTTAAAATAAAATTTTGAGATGCACCTACGTGGATGTATAAAATACATTCTGAAAATAATAATTATATTTTTGACATATCGCTGACGCATGGGAGACCTTTGAGCGTGTGTGTCTGGAATCAGATTGAGATACGCCACTAAAGCTGATGGTAGGCAGCAAGAATGTTGTTGCGGAAACAGTTTTCTAAGCAATTATTTAGGCTGAGGATCCTCCCCTAAAGAGCGTTCAGTTTGCTTTATGTGACATTCATTACAGACAATTTTCCCGTAATGAAGAATAAATTACTGTAACAGTCAAATTCTGCCTTTTTGCAAAAATATATACAAAACATGTGTCTTTGGCTCAGTCTACACTGTGTAAGATTGTTTAAACTTAATTTTATGCTGTCCTTGTGCTTTATTGCTGTGGGCTTCTGTTACTTAGTTTCTGTATGTATAAAAATATAACTAAAAATATGACTAAAATGTAAAATGGGTCTTAATTATATTGCACAATTTCCAATTTTTCTGCTTGATCTTATGTAGCTTTTTTTTTTTTTTTTGATTTTTTTTTTTTTTAATGGGCTGTTTATGTCCTTGTCTGCATAGAGGAAGAATTTTGGTTTTGTCATAGTGGATGAACAGAATAACATAAATGTACCTGTGAATAATTCGCATCTAATTACCTTCGTCTGGAGAAAAACAAAAAGCTGTGAAGCCTTTATACAATGGCATAGTGGCTGGAAAAACGTGAGGTTCTTTGAAAGCTGTCAGACACAAGCAAAAATGTGTATAAATATATTACTGGACAAAAGATAGAGTGGGATTTGTAAACACACAGATCCGGTTTTCACCCAGGCATTATTTACATGACGGTCCCATATTTTCTTAAGCTGTGTGCCTGGGTAGTCTGTGACCACTGAATGATTCAACTTTTCTGCAGCTACTGCATGCAAGTCATCTCCAGTATGAGCTATGGATCCCAGTCTATGCTCAAGATGTGAGATGACACCAAAGTGCTGCTTGGATACTCTGGCACAGCTGAGGCTTAGGGCATGGCATCTTCAAAAGAGCTCTGATGAATAATGCCGCATGCTTAGACATTCACCAAATTCTAGCCTTCACAATATCAGAAATTAAGCAATGATTCCTGTTTGAGCAACTTTATTAAAATTCTAAGTAGGATTTCACAGAATCACAGAGTCACAGAATGGCTATTTTTGAAGGAAGCACAGTGTGTCATCTGGCCCAAGCTCCCTGCTCAAGCAGGGTCATCCTAGAGCACGTTGCACAGGACTGTGTCCAGATGGTTCTAAGTATATATATTTTTGTTTGTTTGACAGCATACTTAGAATTTTTTCTGAAAAATCTTGACCTAGTCTTATTTTTCAATTTAAGTTTTGCTCATTAAAGAAGCCTATTTTAATTATTTTAATAATAATTTTGAGTAATTTAAGTGACAGACTGCTATTCAAGCCCCTCCTACTTCCAGTGTAAAACAACGATGGAACTCTATCAAATGTGATCTCTCTGGTGTTGGGGGGAGGGGAGAGATATTTACAGATGAGCAATTCCCTGCACTTGTTTTGTACCTCAACTTTTCATAAGATTTGCTTTACTGGCAGACATTAGCAGTGAGCAAGCACTCTAATCACATAGAACATCTGTTGTACATTTAGTTGCTTATAGAATTTAGCAGCACTAGAGGAGCAGAGGATGTTAGATTTTTTCCTTATACACTCATTATTGACATTTGGCTTGAGCTGCATTATAAAATCAGTGTTGAGTATGGGTCTGTTGATCTTAGCTCAGTCTCTCATGAATTGCAAGCATGACTTGAATAATAAGAGGGGAGTAAAGTGTGAGCTGCGTGTTTAGAACTGAATTGCATAACAGCCATCCGAAACGGCTACATTTCCATGCAGGCAGCACAGGCAGAGCAAAGTACCTTGTAGGCAACTACACTTATTGTTATTGCTAAATGGCTGTAATTAATTTAGAAGAATGTTGACCCTAGCATATGATTCAGTATAACATGGCAGTGGCTGTTACACATGAATGAACTTGTGTATTCAATGCATTACTGTATAATTGTCCTTTTTGCTTATTACAAAGTCAGAAGATGTGGCATTATTTATGACAATGTTTCAACAAAGGCGCTACTGAAAAATGTTTTCTGTGTAAAAAATGCTATTGACCTTAAAAAATGAAATTTTTCTATGTAAAATATAAATTATATCTGAGATGCTACAGCTATGAAAAAAAAAATTGTGTCAGCATTTAATTACAAGTCTCCATTCTGGCTATCTCGGCATCTGATTTCCAGGTTACAGATATATCAGCAATAACTGAATCATTGAAAGTTCTCTGAGGTTTGCAGCATTAAGAGAAAAGACAAACAAACTAGTTTTCAGATGCAAACATTTAATTTCTGACATGATATAGTAAATTTCAGCAAATGCTTTGATACATACTTACGCTATATTGGTATATGTAGCAAACCACATTTTGCTTTCTAGCTCAGTGTCTCAGTTACATGTGCCTTGTTTAATTAAGTATGGCTAATGATTATCAGTCCTAGCTTATGCCTTGAATTTAAACTGGGCAACAAGACCGGTCATTTTATAATGATTCAATTAATTTTATTTTAAGTTCAAAAGAATATTTTATTCAGGTGTAAAAAATGCTTGAAGAAGTACTATGTTTTATATCTACCACTGTCCTGTAAAAAAGAAAAAAAAGAGAAGCTGAAAAAGTAAGCATATGTATTAAAAGTGACAAAGATAGATGAGATTAGCTTAGCTTTTTGCTTGACAGGATTTTCCCACGACATATGTTCAGTGCTACCAGGGTTATTACAGAGAGCACTGACTAATCAGGGAGACAGATTCACAGTGACTGCAACACATGGTGGCCTCTCAGTGTTAAAAAAGACCACTGCAGTCATTTGTAAACATGGTCAGATAATGTGCGTATTTATAATTTTGATTGCTTCAGCCACAGTCATCAAACCCAGAGGTCTTTTGCTTAACACTTCAATGGTTTGAAAGAAAAAGATCTTCTAAGTTAGCAGTGTCTGCTGCTGAACCAAAGTGGTGAGGGAAAATTCTGATAGCTTTTAATGGGCCTTATCTTGATTAAGTGTATTAAAAGCACTACTTTTAAGAGTAATCAGTAACTGTGTTTTTAATGACACACTGACATTAATTATGGCTGGCTATTTTAAGCCATGTTAACACCAAACCTCTTATTTATCAAATGCTGCTTCTACATGAAGAAGCTGAGTAAATCAGATTTGTGGCAAGAGGCAGCTGAAGTTCTGCGTGACTGATGTAGCTCGTCGTGAGTGCTCGGCTGACCTAATTTTACAGCTGCTTAGAGACGACATTTGTAAATGGGCTTGTGATTGAATCTATAGCAGTCACATGCAGTGAATACAATATCTTTTATTACAAGAGATTTCTGCCGCATGTGCACAAGCTATTAGAACCAGTCAAAAGACTATTTAGTGGAGGAGTCTGAATCTTATACTTGTACGGGTAGAGGGCAATACTTTATGTTACAGACATCAGTATTTTTTTAGGAATCTTGTAGATAAATATTTTTAGATTTCTGGAAAGTCAAGCTAGTGGTAGCAAACCCTATCAGATTTGAAGGACAAAATTATGAAGTTATTTTACATTTTTGGTATAAATGGATTCCACGAAAAATATCTGTCCCTTTTTTCGTCTCCCTTATTTTCCATGAACTTTTTTGTAAAAGAGTCTGTTTACCTCCCAAACACATGTTACCATAGGATTTATTTTTCCAGTTTCAAATTCCCCAATGTGTGAGGTACAGACACAAAATTAAAAACTTCTGGTATGGGGTTTAAAATCTTAAGCAGAAGGATCCCAGCCATGTCCTGTCCAGAGAAATGAATCTGCCTTAACTGGATTCAGAAGCAATTTTCTAGTGATATCAGTGGAGATATACTCTGTTTTGTTCAGCCCAAATGCTCTTTCTTGCATAGAGTTTTTCTTGATATTCGTCTTAAAATCCATCCCAAATTTAAACTGCTAATTGTTCTTTATCAAAGATACTTTCAGACAATGTCCTTAATACCATGATGTAATGTTTTCAGCCTTGAATTGATCAGACAATTGAACTACATGATTACTGTAGGTCTGTTCCAATGAAAAGTATTCTATTCTATTAATTTTTTTCATATTATTTTTGTTATATTTTAGTTTTATGTTCTAATATTTTCAGTTAGCTAACAAGTAGGGATTCTGTCATTGTATATATCCCCTAGGCTGCCACATAGAGAAGCTTTGCTTTCTCTGTGATGAAATGTACAAGTGCATATTTTAAAACATTACATACACTTTTAGTGTCTAATGGTCAATAATCTTTCATAAATCAGAATCTAGAGGACTATATTAATTATTTTCGTGGTTCTTAGAAGTCACAAAAATATTTCTGCAGTAAAATTAGTTCAAACCAGTACTTCAAAAAATTTTTATTTTTAACATAGTCCACTGAAAATATTTATTACAGCAAACCCCTGCTTCTAATGTCCCCATCGTTCCTTTGTGCCCTGCTGAGGAGAGCCCAGCTCCAGCTCCCCAACCAAGCATTGTGTGCACTGCGGATCCTTGTACGTGCCCCTGGAGCTGCCCCTTCTCCAGACTGAGCCAGGCCTGGTTCTCCTGTCTCTCCTCACAGGGCAAGTGCCTTGCCCCCAGACACCTCAGTGCCTTTCTGCTAAGATAACTCTGGTTTATTGGCATTTTTTTTCCCTGCAGAAGAGTCAAAAACTGAACACAGCATCTGTGTGATTGTATTGAAGATTTTAGAACAAGTTCCAGAACTTATCAAGTTTTTTCAAGTAATTCAAAAGGCTCTCACCCTCACCAAGGGACTTTGAAGGTAAGCACTAAGGGAGGCTGTGTTACTCAGCAGTAAGTTCTTGTCTGTATTCTTGTGTCAAAGTGGAGCCTGGGTCAAAGTGGAGAATTTTTTCACAGCTATGAAATTCAATGCTGGAACCCCTGCAAGATGGATTTGTGACAACCAGTAGATTAGTTGGGAACTTGCACTGAAGGAAAGACTGCATGTACTCTTCCAGACAACTAAAATTGTGAAGAAATCATAATCTGAGCTCATGTGCCTTCAGAAGTGACTTTTCTAAATAATTCAAGTAGGAGGGAAGATTGAGCAGCTAAAGGAAGCTGTCTACCTTTTACAATTCAGATGAATTTTTCAGCTGGACTAGTGAAATATGAAATTAATTGTAAATGTGTGTTCTGCCACTAAAGTTGTTAAGTTCATTTTGAATATGAAATACAAGCATGTACTCGAGATACCAGGTGTGCCTGGTAAATTAATTCAGATAATGGCATTGGAAACTGAAAAGGTTGTATTTATTAGCTAGGATATTTGTATTTCTTAAATACTTAAAAGATTTCCTATAACTTTAAAATATTGCGGAAATATTTCTATACATTTTAATTAAATCTTTGCAAGCAAAGAATAAAAACACGGCAAAGGTTCCAACATACCCTGTGTTTTCCCAGCTGTACATGATTTCCTTATGTTTTACTGGTTTACAAGGTTCTGTATGCCAGTATTTAATAAGAAGCTACATTTTATATCATTACTAATCATCATGCTGATTTTTGCCAAACAGGTCTTTTTTGCTCTTTTCAACTTGAGTGATTTGTGTGTCTGCTGTGTATGTATCTGTGTGTGCCCATGCACAGAGAGGACACATAACAGCTGCTGTTGTAATTGAATACACTTTATTTTTTTAAATATGCAGTTCTAGCCAGTCATGTAAAGCATGTTGTACCAAAAGTAATTTTGCATGTAGTTTTAAAGGTGGAATTAATTGTGCTGGCTGCACTGGGAAATTAATTATTGAGGTGCAAAAAATTGGGAAAAATATTTTTGTCTGAGCACCAAAGGAACCCTTTCCTGTGAACGCAGAGAGAGTTTTCACTTTCTTTTAGTTACAGATAAAATTCCATTTAGGACTAAGATATAAATTTCTCCCTAATTATGATATTGGGACCTGTTATATAGACATCTCTGCAGTCTAATACAATTATTTTATATCAGAATAAGACTTTCATTCGTTGACTTCAATCAGGTTCACACTTTCTACTTGCTTTTTCTTCCATATGTTTATTTTCTTTGTCCCTGTTTTGTCTGGTGTGCTTCATTAGATTGCTGCTTTTCTGTTACTTAACATAATGGTAAAAATGGCAAAGGTTTTAGAAAACATTTTTTATTTTGTGGAAAAATGGGTGTACTCATGAAAGAATTAATTCATTATCAAAATCTGGAAAGAGAAGAATTGTAACTTAAGCATGTCCACTGTGCGTTTAGCCATACTGTGTTTTTAAAACAATGACAGTGACTGAAATTCTGTACATATGCAAGGCTATAAAATTAGTTTTCTTCTGTAAAAAGAGATACATCCCTTTTAAGGTTTAGAAGAGTCCCCTTAAAGCCTTCACTTTAGTATGATTTCAGTAGTATTTTAATAGATTTCATATACTATATAAATATGGTAGCAATTGCATAATTACATAATTTTCAATACCATTAATAATATTGTTATTGAAATTTTCTAAGTAAACATTTTCCTGTGTACAAACAGCTGGAAGAAGACTAATAACATCAATCAATTTAGGTTTACTTACAGTGCAACTGAAAGGCCCTGTAGGGCTCATTGATATCATTCAGCTTTGGGTGTATCCTGGTGTCAGCATCTGCACACTTAGCGGTGTTATTCTGCTGTCAACACTGCAAAGACTGCTTCTAGAAAATATATGGTTTTATTATAAAATGTCATAGAACTGGGTAGAATTTGAATTTTCTGTTGCGTCATTCTTGAAAAAGTAGAAAGTTTTCAAAGCTTCGTGTAACACTCCTGACTATAAAGATTCCCGTTTTCTCTTCCAGCGCTACTGCACTCAAGTAACAGATAAAATATGTGGATTTAGTTCTGGGCTTGTTCTGGCACTTGGCTCTTTCCCACTGCTCTTAAAAGGAGTGAGCTTTTGTGGCTTCACTGGGAGTTGGTTACTCAGGGAATATGGAATAGCCCTGTCCCATCACTAGAAATATTAATACACCAATAGGGATGTAAACTCCAGAGTTACATTAATTTGAAGCACCAGTTGAAACCATTAGGTCAGGAATGTTGCCAAATCCTGTTTAGGTTTAATTATATCATATCAAAATGAGTGGAAAGTAGTTCTTTGTTTAGTGAATGTGATAAATGTGTCACTGTGTAAAAAGACCTTTAGTCTTATTTATGGACTCCTAAGTTATAAGAAATATCTTGAAAATAAAAAGAAATAACTTGAGATACAATGTGAAATTTCTTAATAGAAGAAATAATGCACACATCTTTTCAACAAGACTAGTTCATACCTACTTACAGCTTCTTAGTGTTCTTTTTTTCTTTTTGTTTTTTTTTCTGAACAATGTATTTTTATACAGTTCCCATTTTGCAGATTCACAGGGCTGTTATGGAGGCATAGTAACACTGGGGGAGTATGTTACCAATTTTGTCTTAATCTTGAGGGACATGAAATAACCCAATGATTTTGACCAGTACCTTCAAAAGATTTTCTGTTTACTCTCACCTTTTCCTTCATTTCAGAAAACAAAATAGATTTTTCACTGCTGAGAGGACTGAGCTTTGGCCAACAGCGTTGTGTATGCCAGCCCTGTTCAGCTCATCCATGGAGAGACTGTGACCACCGCTTGGTGAGTCCATGCTTTGGGAGGTGTCCCCACAGAAAGCCCCATAGAGACGTCTCAAACAGGTAATTTTCAGTCAATATTCAAGATTTTCAGTGCTTATCCCTTGAAAATTTTCTGTATTATCATAATATATTCAATAAATTGATTTTAACCAACTTTTTGTTTAACATATGGAATTCAGTAGAATTTTAGAGAATTTTCCTCCCTTCTTGAGCAAAACTTACTCTATATCTTCTTTCCAGCTTCTGTCTAGGACTTAAGTGAGGCTAATTTTTCCCAGGCCTTTACTTTCAGGTGCTACTTTATGAACTGCGAATAAAAATTCATTAAAATGGAAATGACTTCTGATTTCATTTTTTAAAAATATTTTGTTGTTTCATAACAGCAGAATGGAAGTTACAACAGGATTATCCATCAAATTAAATGTAAATGTGTATTTAAATTTCAAGGTTTTCTTAGTTTTATGTTCAGGTGAACTATTGAAGCAAAAATGAAAATGCAAGCAAGATTTGTAAGTGACATCACGCTGGCAATGTTGTGTATTTAGTTAATTATACTGCAGTATTCACAGCACTGACTCTGAAACTGTAAAAATACCTATTAATGTTGACTTAGTTTGTGTTACTATTCAAAGAGAGCTTTATCCTAAATGTATATTAAAACAGGGATTTGAACCCCTAAGTTTAATTGATGATGCCACTGCTATGTTATCTCTTGAGAAAGGAATGGCTTGCATTTTGGACAATTATTCTTGTAAGAATTTCTGGACAATTATTCTTGTAAAAATAAAGGTGAATCTGCAGATTCACTACCTTTTGGCTGTGGCCAGATCGTTATTGAGCAATTACCAATTTTATCAAGGATTTATTTTACCTTTGGTAACAATGCAAAGCAAATTCTTATTCCATACACCCTTGATTGCAATTGAGAAGGCATTTATTATATTAATAATAAATCTATGTTTTTACTTGCCCTGCTGTGAGGACACCATGTAGTGTAAAGCATCATGTATGATGAATTTAAAAAGTCTAATGCAGTGTTTCATTTTCTATTCAGCAGGTTAAAATTATGAACTGATAATTTAGCTACTATTGACTGTGAGTTTTTTAATCTGTCTGGACATATGAATGGTGCATTTGTTTTTCTGTTTACAACACGGAAAGAGGAAACTCCCATGAGAATCTAAAAGATATATGCTTACACAAAAATGACTGTACCTCACCCTGTGAATCAGTCTGCAATGAATTGAAGATGGTGTAAGTAATTTCTTCAAAATCAAAGAATCAACAAGCAATAATGACCAACAGTCATCACTTTGGGCAGATAAAGAAGCTTTTGTTCATTGCTCTATACTGGAGCTCTATATTTTTATCAATCTTTGCTGTTTTTTACCTACACAATTTTTTGTCTCACGTGTAAGTCCTTCAGGGCACAAAGCATGTGTCTGTATGCTTTGGTGTAAGATAACAGTAATAATTTCACTTGACATTTATTACAATAAAGTATGTAGCAATGTATTTAGAACAAAACCATGTGCTGATGTTTCACAGCAATGCCAGATAAAACTGATTAAGATTCTAATCACACTATTAACTGTGATTCTTTTTCACATGGGTTTCAATTTTAGCAATGAAGAATCAGTATTAGATGATTTTATTTAAGTTAGTGGGTATGTTAATTGTCTGAATGAGAAAGATAAACAGAATTTTGCTAAAGAGAAGAAATAATTGAACCTCTGTTACATTACAAATTGGATGCACTGTTACACATCTTCACACAGCTTAAGATCAAGTGGTTCACCTATTCTAACTTCTTGGCTAAGGTCAGATAATCCATCAGATTTCTTCCAGGACCCAAGGAGCATGTGTATTCTTAATGCGTATTTTACAAATAAACTGCTACTAGTGGTTTTAGACCTTCATTTTTTCTGCTTGAGTAGTGAATCAATCCCATAAGCAGGAGCTACAAGCCAAGACAGATCAAGGTTCAGAAAAAAGGTTTCAGCAAAAATAAAGCGCTCCAAAATCAGGATTTTAAAACTACTTTACGGAATGGTTAGGCATGGCATATGGTTAACAGAAGAAATAAGAGATAAATATAAGTTTAATATATTTTTAAAATTTAGCAGGAATTAAAAAAATACTTTGTTGAAATTGTTCCAAAATTTGGGATGTTAGGAACACAAATAGTGATCAAAGCACTAGGAGTAAAGAGTTATCCTAGATGTCAGACACTAGGCTGTAAGAAATGAGTGTTTCATCGTATTTGCAAGAGAGAGCTTGTACTTAAGCATGAAGTGGAAGTAATTGAATTTATTCTCTCGTTTGTAGGCATTTCTCATTTTTTCTCAGTTTTAAGCTTCAAGCTTTTTTTATGTCTTGTGGCTGTTTTGTCCCGAGGGCAAAACTGTCCACAATTTTGTCCTAAGATAGGTCTTAATGTGTTAGTGACAGAATCACAGAATCTGCCAAGTTGGAAGGGATTCACATCAGGTCCAAGTCCTGGCCCTGCACAGCCCCATCTGCAAGAGTCACACGATGTGCCTGAGAGCGTTGTTCGAGTCTCTCTTGAGCTCCATCAGGCTGGTGCTGTGCCCACTTCCCTGGGGAGCTGTTCCAGTGCCCAGGCACCCTCTGGGTGAGGAACTTTTCCCGAACACCAACCTAAATCTCCCCTGACAAAGCTTCAGACCAATCCCTTGTGTTCTGTCACTGTCACCACAAAGAAGAGATCAGTGCCCACCCCTCCTCTTCTCCTCACAAGGAAGCTGCACCTGCAGTGAGGTCTCCCCTCAGTGTCCCCTTCTCCAGCCTGAACAGACCAAGGGACCTCAGGCATTCCACACATGGCTTCACCCCATGGTCCCTCACCATCCTTGTGGCCTTCTTTGGACACTCTCTAACAGCTTAATCTTATTGCAGACCAATGAAGTCACCATTTCCTTTAATTCTTGCTTTACTTTCCCTAATTTTTTTGGTTGTTTTAGGTACTATTCTTTTAAAATTTCATGAAAAATTAAAAATATATAAAATCTTTTAGAATAGATAAACCTTTCTTCACAATGTCCTGAAACAGCATATTAGTGTCCTTGCTAATACTTTTCATCCTGTCTATAGTGTATGTGTTGAGATACCTATGGACATATCCATCCATATATTTATGTGTGTATTTATATATATATATATACACACTCTTATATATGCTTACATATGTGAAGTGTTTGTGTGTGTCTGTGTATCTAATGTATGTATTATACGTATGTCCTCTTTTATTCCCAGCAAATTCTCTTTCTCTAGTCCATCATTAGAGATTCATCAACAGTGATGTGAAGTAACAGATACTATTTTTTTCACTAAACATTCTTCTCCTTCACTCTCCATTATAACTGCGATATTTTTTTGTTGTTGATCAAGTCTTCTTTCCAAAGATTTTTACAGCTTCTGATCACTATCTTCAATTATCTTCCCCCTGCAATATCATGTCTTTGAGCCTTAGTGCCATTTAATATCAGCCAACTTCTAGGAATACAGTATTTCCTATTGTCTGGAAGGTGTCCTTAAACTTTTCCGCACTTGTTTTGGTCCCCTGCCCCTGACCAGATTGCATCTAAATTCTGACATTGATTCCTACATTCCTGGCCACAGAAAACTGACATAGTTTAGTGTTGGTTTTGGCCAGAAGGCTTTTCTCATGTCTTCCCAGGCTCTCTGTACTCATTTAGTTGCTTTCTGAATCTCTTGTGTTTTTATGCTTTAATTCTCTGATGGTGGCAAATAGTTAAGTGGAAATGTGGCTTTGTGCTAACTTGTTTAGGTAGTTCTACTTTGCTTATGGAACTTGCAGTTTGTTGTGTTTCTTCCTCTCATCAGAAATACCAAGTTATTTTTCAAGATTGGAATGGAAAGGCCTACATATTTGAATCTCATAGTTTATGGCTCTGACAAATAACTAATTAATGCAAAATTATTTTGTTGACTTTAAGTTCTTCATTAAATACCATTATTTTTGATATGCTCATGCAGAACCATTAGTATGCAAATCATAATATGGTGTATAATGCATTAATGGATCCAGTGACTGCAATGTTTTCATTGTGCAAAATACGCCTTCCTCATTCATGCAAATGGTTAATCTGATTATTTTAACCATTTGTATATTTATTAGACAACTTAAGTACAGTCTAGATAATCCTGTTGTAAATTCAAATTAATTTCATTGTATATATATGAAATGCCTAATTGTGATAGTAGTAAAGAATTAGTTTCTGAATTAATTAAGTGCATTCTAGAAGCCCAGGGGCTTTTGAGGGTATGAAGACACAGGCAGAAAGTGGAGATAGATAAGCTATGGCTTATGCTGTTCTTTTATATACATCAGAACAGGAAACCAGGCCTATATCTGTTTGAGACAAAGTGGTTAAAAATCATTCTGCCAAATGAGGTCGTTGCTGTAAAAACTTTGTATATGAAAATCAAAGTCACGTTTCAGCTAGCCATGATCTTGGAGATAACTGGAAAATAAACGGTTGAAAAATTTCCTTCTAAGCCTCCAAAAACCACTGTGGGATTGATAACCAAGATGGAAATTTGAGTTGAACCTTGCAAAATGCTGAACACCTGGGAGGTGTTGAATGAAGCAAGAGACATTGTCCCATATATAGTAACTGCAGGGCAATATGGTGCAGACAATTTTTTTTCTGCAGTACCTCTCAGAACTTCTTGATGCTGCATGACTTACCCAAAGGCTCATACCTGTGGGAACTCAGCACATCACTCTGGATGTCCAGAGTTACCAAGACAACCCTTGGGGGGCTCAGAAATCCTGGAATGTTGCCAGAAGCGCCTGGATTTTGATTTTGACTCTGCAAGGGATGTGCCACCTGTTTGAGGACAAGAGAGTCACTTGGGGACGAATGGTGTAAGAATTAAGTATTTACAGGGTGGAAATATAGATTTTAGGATTTTGGTACAGGGGGTTTGTGGAGACAAGATGGAGGGATCAGGGGGTGTCTTGTCCTTCTTTCTTCTTCTTCATCCATTTTCATCCATTTGTCATC